TTTGAGCTGGTTTTGGATGATTCAGCGAGAGAAACCTTGTGTATGCCCTCTGAGAATGGGTGTTAAAGAGAGAGAAAGATAGGAGAGAGAATGGGGTTGTAAGAGAAAACAGAAGTGTGCTGATGTCAAAATAAGGAATGTCGAAGAGATTCCGATGAAAACAGAATGGTAGTTGGAAAAAGGCTACATGATCCACGTGATCGAGACGTCGATGATCAGTATATTCCGCCAGGATTCATATAACATTCTTGGGTTAATGGTTGGCGCAGCCCGGCCCGGCTTGTTCGACCGGGCCCACTAAGAGCTCTGTTACAAACTGTAGCCCGAGAATTGGGGCTGGGTTACAATTACGACAGGGCCAAGGCCATGACAAAGTCGATCATTTCGATTTCTTTTATTTATTTATTTTACCTTTTTTTTAAGTTGGTTCAGCCCTGCTAACGGGGTTGAGGTGGCAATAGGTCGGGTTCGGCTGGACCTGAATAGTATTTGGGTCCAAAATTTGGACCAGTAGGATTCCAACTCTACCTGTTGGCTTTCGGGTTTGGTCGTATCCATTGTCACCCTATGACTATGAGCTTTTTTTTTTTCTTTATCTTTTTTTCTGGAAACGGTTTCTATGCGGCCAGCTCGCATATTATAGAAATACGGGCTTGGCAATAAATATATTTTTAAATATAATTTAATCTTAATTTTTAGAGAATATATAATCTTTAACATGGAGATCATGAATATGATTTTTTTTCTGAAAATTAGAAATAATAATTATTAAAAAACATTTGGACCGTTAGTTACACTTTCTTTTTAGATAGACCACCTATTTGTGTCCACTATTAAGAGGATGGATGCTTTATACCACCACATATTGTAGAAATGTGGTCCAGCCTACATGAATTTTTTTTTTTTTACCATCATATACCATTCGACTGACCGTTTTTTTTTTTTGCCAATAATATTGTAAATGCTACCAATATTGTGACAATATGAACATCTAGTGCACCTAAAGACACATGATTACCATTATATACCTTATGACTATGAGTACGGGTCAGGTCTGGCTGAACCCGAATCCGAATATAAATAATATTTGGGTCCAAAATTTAAACCCATATCCTAACTTGAGGTCAGCTATACCATTGGGTCCAGGTCTAATCGGGTCCCATCCCTAGATAGGGCTAATGCCCGCGCTAGGACAGGCCTCTTAGGCCCATTGCTGCCCCTAACTTCATATTTTGTTATGGGAAGATATCAATAAAACAGTCAACCAACTACAAAAACTTGATGAGGTGGCTAAATCATCAAAATTTCAACTTATTAATTTCTTAAAGATGATTTCACTTCAGTTTGTATAGAGCTGAGGCTCTAAACAATGCCCACCTTCAAATAGCATCGAGAAGTATGGTTTCAATACCCTTCAAATAGCATCGAGAAGTATGGTTTCAATACTAGAACGTTTGTGATAGCTTTAAATTATATTTTTATTTTTAATTATAAAATTTAAGGCTTAAAAAATAGTATAGATTGAGCAGATCTATGAAGTCTTGAAAATTGACAGAAATATGCTATAAGATGTACCATTTTCAAAACTTGAAATCTATTTTTTTCTCATGTTCATGCATCTTGATGTCGAGATGATCAATTTGATGATATTTGAGCATCAAAATAACCTCTTCTAGTGAATGTTTTGAGGTTGGCATTAATTTGATTATTTAGAAGTCTATATAAACCTTTCCCGAGAGAATTTTAGTTATTCAGCCACTTCTACTTATTTGAGCTAAATGATTTAAACCCTCTTATTTGGCATGGATTTCGAACTCAGGTTTTGTTTTTTTGTTTTTTTTTTTGACAAAAATCTTGCTTTAGGTTTAGAACCCGAGCAAATATAAATATTTATGCCTTATGGTTTGAGTGATTTGTGTTAATTGGGCAAAATTATCATAATGTGCTCACTCTCTTATGTTAACTTTCAAATCTAAAACAATATTTTTCACAAAAATATATTTTAGACTTGGAACCCAAAACAAGTAGGTGTATTTAAATCATTTGGCTCAGATCACTTGAGCATGTCAAATTACCAAAGATGCCTTGGCTTGTTACAGGTACAAACTCTGAGCCATGGCAATTTGGACAATTTTTAACAAAATTCTTGAGTAAGTATTCAAATTAAAGGGTATTATTCTAAAACTAATTAAGGAGTTAATAAAACTATTGATTTAAACCACCTCATTGTTTTTTGGGTGCAGTTGGCATACGGATGCATCCGTAGCTGTAAAGGTAAGGTGCACCTTCAAATTTTATGATGGTATATAATTTTGATGTAAAATGTTCTTAGGATTATCTCAAAATCTATTTTTATATCTAATTATAAAATTTTAAATTTTAAAAATGGTTAAAATCAAGTAGATCTATAAACATACACTATTTTTGAGACTTAAAATCTTTTTATTTTTCATGGTCATACATCTCGATGTCGAGATGATCAATCAAAGGGTTTTTCAATATTAAAACTACTTTTTTTGATGGATTTTTGAGGTGCATTCGTAGGTCTACAATAAAAGGTTGCATCCTTATATAAACTTTTTCCTTAATTTTTTGGTGCCATTTGTATAAGGTGTCAACCTTAAACAATCAAATTAAGGTACACTTTCTATCTTATTCACTTAGTGTTCATAGATGTACTTGATTTGAACCATTTTTGAAGTTCAAGATTTTATAATTGGTGATGCAAATAGATTCTCAAGCCATCCTAAGAATTTTTTATACCAAAATTATATTTATGATAAAATTTGGATGTGGGCCTGAATTTGATTGTTTACTGCTGCGACCTTATACAAACCACACCCTTCTTGTATTGATACTTTGAGTAAGGTTTGGTGGTGTGTAATAAGCAGCATATGGAGAGAGAGAGAGAGAGAGAGAGAGAGAGAGAGAGAGAGAGAGAGAGAGAGAGAGAGAGAGAGAGAGAGAGAGAGAGAGAGAGAGAGTAGTAGTACGTAGTAGTAGTAGTACGTAGTAGTAGTAGTAGTAGTAGTAGTAGTAGTAGTAGTAGTAGTAGTAGTAGTAGTAGTAGTAGTAGT